CAAACTGGGTTAATGGCTCATCCCTCTATATAAATGCATAGAGATGGCAGATAAAATAAAACTAACAACAAAATACCCACCACCTCCCTAAGTTTATTAACAAACTAAAACCCCTGTGACTTTACTTATAAAGGAAGGAAGGAGGAAGGGAAGAAGGAACCAGCCTCAGCTGGAAACAATAAGAAAAGGCACATATTTAACTGCCAACACAATAATCTATATAGACATTTTTGTACCCTGATAAGGATGTCGCTATTAGACACTTTTTATGGCTGGACAGAGTATTATTTCAGCCGTAAAGATAAACTAATAGATATATGGTACACATGGAAGAACTTTGAAAACATCATGGTAAGTTAAATAAGCCTCCATTTGTACTCAGATTAGGACCCTTTAGGCAGTCTTGGAGGCTGCCTTAAAACTGTTGCAGTCTATCCCAGTCTCTCCTTACTTAGATCCTCGAGTGCTGATCTGGAAAATTACATATTTATCTTAAGGATATTTAGACCTTGGATTGTATAATTTTAGGATGACCATTGAATATATGGGCTCTGGCTGTCTCAGCAAATGTTTAGAATACCATTTAAAAATTTTTTTTGTTGTAGTAAAATATATATAGCATAACATTTGCCATTTTAACCATATTTATGTGTGTAATTCAGTGGCACTAATTACATCCACAGCGTTATGCAATCATCACCACTATCTTTATCCAAAATTTTTTATCTCCCCAAACAGAAACTCTGTACCCATTAAACAATAACTCATGTCCTCCTTCCTCTAATCTGCTTTCTTTATTTCTGAATTTGCCTATTCAAGATACTTCATATAAGCAGAATCACACTTTCCCTTTTGTATCTGGCTTATTTAACTTACCATGATGTTTTCAAAGTTCTTCCATGTGTACCATATATCTATTAGTTTATCTTTACGACTGAAATAATACTCTGTTGTATTTACATACAGTATCACATTTTATTTATTCATTCATCAGTTGATGAACATTTGAGCTGTTTCCACCTTTGGCTATTGTAAACAATGCTGTTTTGAACACTGGGTACAAGTATCTTATGTGTTTGAGTCCCTAGAATAGCATTTTGAACACTGAAAAATGTGTAGATCTTTTATATAGAAAAATTAAGTCTTCTGGATTTCAAATGATGACTGAAATTATTATTATTATTATTTTTTTTTAATCGGAGTTTCACTGTCACCCAGGCTGGAGTGCAGTGGTATGCTCACGGCCACCGCAGCCTTGGCCTGCTGGGCTTAAGTGATCTTTCCACCTCAGCCTTACAAGTAGCTAGAACTACAGGCGTGTGCCACCATGCCCAGCTAATTTTTTTTTTAATTTGTTGTAGAAACGAGATCTCACCAAGTTGCCCAGGCTGGTCTCAAACCCCTGGGCTCAGGCAATCCTCTCACTTTAGTCACCCAAAGTGCTGGGATTATAGGTGTGAGCCATCGTGCCTGGCTGACTGAATGTATTATTTCAGTGTAACTTAAGTATACACAAATATAAAACTAAGAGTTAACTCCTTATAACTCTATATACCTGTAATATCAAAACAAATCTTTCAACTAAATAAATGTAAAACTGTAAAACCAATGCAATTTAAATTAACATGTTTCATCAAATTATACTTACTGAAAATAAATGGCTTATGTCAGTTTTAATGGTATAAAAAGATATATTTATGTGTTTCGGCTTGATAGATCATTATTTTATTCTCCATCATTATTGACATCCTTTTTAACAATGAACTCATTTGTAAACCATGAATCCATTACTTTGATGGGCAGTATATCTGCTAAAATATCCCAGAATATGAATGTGGAAGAGAACAAGCCAATGAAAAATTATTTACCTCATATTTACTGCAATGGTGTCATTAATGAACTGTTGCAAAGCAGGTGCCTGTAAGAGCAAAATCCACAGAGTGTATCTGCTTGCTATCAGATACTGATTGCTGCCACACAGGTTTTAGCAACTTGGTTAACCCCACACTTGTAACTGTTGGAGCTTGTTTGAAGTGCTAACATCATGTTATCATTTGACCTTCATTTATTTCAAACATATCATTTATTTATTCAGTCTGCCTCTGTTTACTATTGGCCCATTTCTATGAAACTAGTATAGCACTCTAAACTAATGTGTGGTTTTATGATGTTAAATCAGAGTTGTAGTTTATTAAATAAGGTCTTATTCCATGAAAATGTCTTTCACTTACAAATTATACTGCAAGAGTACTTTTGTCTTATAACTATGAAAATTAAAATATAAGTACAACAATGGAGCATAGGATAGTGGTTGCTATTTTCACATTGGTTGGCATTTGCCTGTCCAAGACCTGTTAGATATGCTTATCAACACCTGAAATGACAAATCCTGTTTCCTCAAGGCATCACTTGGCAATATCTTAGTGTGAACACTGAAAATCCCGTCATGCCACATTGTGAAGGGGTCATCCAAGGATTCAAATATTCTTGTATTTATTCTTTACTTTTACAAAAATTTGTAATGGTCACAGAATTCAGATGCCCCAAAGAGTATACCAAAGGATAACACTTCCCCAGGTTGACAAATACTGGATCAAGCATTAACTCTTGCTTTATTCACATTAAACTCTAATGCTTTGCTCATGAACAATTGATCAACCACTTAAAAGTAGGGAGGCTTGTAATTTTCAAAGTGCATATAGCTCTATTTTTATAACAGTTTCTTTAGTATTTTTTAATAAGAAGTAGAACTGCTACATGGATGAAGAGTTGTGCTGACTAATCAATACATTTTCTTTCTACTTTGAAAACTAAACTGAGAAGAAGGTTGCTTGATGAACACAGAACCCTCTATCACAGTAGGCACTCAGTAAGTGTTAAGGAATCGTTTGGTTAAGCTATGATAGCTCCCTTCAACACCTATATGACTAAAAAACATTGTCAAATCAACCTTCATCCAATCAGTGATAATTGTCCTTTCTCTTGATTCCGTATTTACTCCATGCCAACCTTCAAACTTGTGTTTTCTACTTAGTTGTACCACCTTCAAAAATCAGTTTCACAGAGTGTGCTTTTAATGAAATCTCAACTCTTATTCTATGAAAAAAAAAAAAAGCAGCCGGGTTCGGTGGCTCAGCCTGTAATCCCGCGCCTTTGGGAGGCTGAGGTGAGCGGATTGCCTGAGCCCGCGGGTTCAAGACCCGCCTGGGCAGCAAGACCTCATCTCTACAATAAATCAAAAAATCAGCCGGGCGTGGTAGCGCATGCCTGTAATTCCAGCTACTTGGAAGGCTGAGGCGGAAGGAACGCCGGAGCCCAGCAGGTCGAGGCTGCAGTGCCTGGGAGCGGCCACTGCACTCCAGTCTGGGCAACAGAGTGAGACCCCAACTCAAAAAAAAAAAGCAAATAACACTAATTAATAGTGTATAGTTTCCCACAGAAGACTCCCCTTTCTAACCTACATTCTTCTTGATGATTGCCTTTCTGAGGTGGAGACTTCTAAATCTTCTAGTTACTTACTGCCAACAATATGCCTTTCATTTAAAAATATTAAATCTTTTCTATGTTTAACTTATGTGATTTTCATACCTTATTATATTTATAATTCTTGTTTAGCCATATTTTGTCTTCATAAAAGTAATTAAATGTCAATGAATATATGATTTATCAAGTGATCATTTTTCTATAAACATTAGCAGATATACACTGTGGTATCTCTGGTTTTCTGTTTTAAAAATTAATTTTAATAAGCATGACTCTTTTTTTCATGTCACTCTTCAGTGCAGTTTTCTAGTTTTTGATTTTTTTTAGTAGGATCCTCACTCTGTCATCCAGGCTGGAGTGCGGTGGCATGCTCACGGCCACCACAGCCTCAACCTGCTGGATTCAGGCGATCTTTGCACCTCAGCCTTCCAAGTAGCTGGAACTATAAGCGTGTGCCACCATGCTAGTTTTCTTATTTATTGGAGAGACGAGGTCTCACCATGTTGCTCAGGCTGGTCTCAAACCCGTGAGCTCAGGCAATCCTCTTACCTCTGCCTCCCAAAGTGCTGGTATTACAAGCATGAGCCACCACGCCTGGCTAATACATTTCAAAGTGTACAAATATGACCTATTATCAAATTATTACTGAAGGTCAGGGTCTACATTTGTATACAGAAGAAGAGCAATAATATATTTTGAATAAATGATTAGATAAATAATAAAAATGGTATTACCTGAATCTATTCCATTAATATTATTAAACCCCTACCTTGGTCAGGCACGGTGGCTCAAGCTTGTAATCCCAGCACTTTGGGAGACCGAGGCAAGAGGACTGACTGAAACTAGTGGTTCGAGACCTGCCTGGGCAGCTTGGTAAGACTTTGTCTTTCCAATAAATCAAAAAAATTAGCTGCACATGGTGGCTCGCGCCTGTAGTTCCAGTTACTTGGAAGGTTGAGGTGGAAGGATCATCTGAGCCCAGCAGGTCATGGCTGCGGTGGCTATGAGCATGCCACTGCACTCCAGCCTGGGCAACAAAGTGAAACTCCAACTCAAAACAAAACAAAACAAAAACCCTACCTTAATTTTGACATATTGAACCAATAGAAGTTCAGTCTTGCTGCAGCCTCCTAGAAGAGAGATTACGTCCCCGCAAAAGAAGAAAAAATTGACTATTAGGAAGTGGGTTTTTACTATAAATAAATGTGGTATCTCACCTCTTCAGTCATCCTCCTCCACTATCAGTCCTGTGGGCTTGCTAGTAAACACCTATCTCTTTTATCACCTCTTCAACCTCATTTCCTTTTTAAATTTTCAGAAAGCATCAATAGTAATGTTTAAAGTTTCAAGAATGCTGCTAAAGATAACTTTATCAGCATTACATACTTATTGAGCATATATATATATATATCTACCTTTATATATGTAGGTAAAAGAAAATGGAATAGGAAGCCTGTTTCTTTAGACTGTTTTAAATGTGAAATGTTATGCTATTTTGCATTTTATTTTTTGTGCAGGCAGAAATCCTCAGTGTCCTCAGTCACAGGAACATCATCCAGTTTTATGGAGTAGTTCTTGAACCTCCCAACTATGGTATCGTCACAGGTAGGAACTCATTATTTGATTTCTTTCTTTCCTAAGTTACCTAGCTTTAGATTCCTTAATATGCTAAAATGCTTAATATTAGGTTCAGTCATGAATTGTGTGCCACTGTCAGATGTCACTTCTGTTGCTATAAAGCGTTAATAAAACTGATTATATCAATATAATTAAGAGTGGTGTTTCCACTTTTACCCATGTTTAATTGTGCTAATTATATCTGTGTAAATGCTATTTAAATACACTCACAGCTGCAATACCAATATTTAAAGGTGCCATTTAACTAAAATTTTATTTAATTAGTTGAAATGAGAGACGCTTTTTGTAACTCTGTGACCTTTTATAAATGAAGATTTCTTGAACTATTCATGTCATAATTCTTTGCAAGGCATTTTAATCCCTTTAGAGCATTCTTTCTTTAAGGTCTCTGACGTGAGAATAATATTTTTCAGGTTTGGTCAACTAAGTTGGTAATGACCTTGACCTAAATTATCATATAATTTAGAGCAGCTGTTTATAACTGGTAGAAATATCCTTTCTAAAAAGGAGCACATACAAAATTTTGCCACATGAAAACACTGAAAGAGACATATTTTTAATACTTTATGCTCACAGTTGTATAATTCAATGAGCAGCTTTAGGTCTATAATAATTATAATATTCAATTTTACAATAAATAACTTTAACCAGGTTCTTTATCTGGCAATTCTTTAATTAAAACAAAAAGAAACAAGAAATTCTTAAAAGATCAGCCCCATCTTCTCCCACTGCAGAGGTAAGAACCTGGGTTGTCTTTATAGGAAATAAAGAACATCCTCAATAAAAAAGGATTGTGTTAGGTACTTTTTGATAAATTATCTCATCTAATTCTTATAATAACCCTATGAGATAGGTTGAGCAATTTCTGTTTTACTAATAAGAAACTAAAACTAACTTGAGCAACTTTCCCATGGTCACCTAGCTAGTGGAGGAAGCAGAGTGGTATAAATTTCTCAGACTGATTTTCTGCAGATGTTCCTCTCCTTACATGCAAACCAGATTTTGGAAGGCTGTGAGCTCACTGGTTCTTAATTAAGTTCAAAGGGACATCGTTGCTGTTATTTTCATCTTCTGGTGATGGGTAGGTATTTTGTTGTTGTTGTTTTGTGTCAGAGTCTCACTCTGTCACCCAGGCTGGAGTGCCGTGGCACACTCACGGCCACTGCCGCCCTCAACCTGCTGGGCTCAGGTGATCCTTCTGTCTCAGCCTTCCAAGTAGCTGAAACCACAGGCAGGTACTACCATGCCCGACTGATTTTTCAATTTATTGTAGAGACGTGGTTCTGCCATGTTGCTCAGGCTTGTCTTGAACTCCTGAGCTCAGGTAATCCTTTCGCCCCCGCCTCTCAAAGTGCTGGGATTATAGGCATAAGCCACCATGCTCAACTGGTGGCAGGTTGTTTAACATGCTTTTACTCTAAGTAACATTTTTACCTAAGTTCTTAAGGGGAGGGATTCTTATTCCCTATTCACTATCTTTAGATCTGTGCTTGAAATGGGCATGTAGCAAGTTTTCTCATAAGCTTATATTTCCTATTAACGTGAATACCCTAGAATGGGTTTTATTGTTGGGAGTAAACCATGCCTAATGTTTTAGGTCAGATTTCTGATTTAAAGTTAAGCCCTTCTCTGACTCCGTTACCATATTACTTTTTTTTCCTGAGCTCATTTTATTTACTTTTTACTAATTATGTCTCCTTTACAAATCTGCATTTAGTTTTCTAATCCTCCTTTGTGGCTGATGTTATTCTTATCTAGCAGGTGAAAGTGTTTTAGTCCAAAGAGATGAGAAACTCTGCTTTTTGCCTTATACCTCAATGTTTAATATTTTTAAAGAAGATTTTTAGCGTAACTAACTCAGTAGGCTATTCAGAAGTTGTTCTAGTATTTTCAGGTGAGGATGAAGGGAAGGAAAAGGGACTTGGGTCATGATTTGACTTTCTTTTTCTAAGAGTTCACTCTCAGCCCCAAGGAGGATGAGAAACACATTTATTCTTGGCCAGCCTATTCAACCAGGGTTGTCTCATCTGAAAGAGGGAGAAAGAATTCAAGTAGTTTGATGAGTAGTTTTGATTTTATTTAGTGTTTGTATCAGACTAGCCAACTCTTTATTTCATGCATCCCTTTAGCACTCCCTATTCATACCTACACCTACTCAAATTCTTTCGTGAAATTATTTCTTTATGGGTCTATGTCTGTGTCCCTGTAGAGCTAGTAAGTAGCTGTTAATGTTAAGCATTTCTTTAAGACAACACAAGTAAGAATTGTGAGGTAATAGTAGATTGTGTATTTATAGCTCTCTGATTGACCTATGGGTTGATTTCTTTTTTAGAGACCTATTAGCCAAGTTTTAGTGTTTTGAAATGTATTGATTTGATATGATTATCTTTTCCCTAGAGATGTTAGTTTTGATGAACTAAACGCTTATCTATGCGAAGCTTTTCAGTCCACCTTCTGCAGTGCTAGGATCAAGCCATGCTCTGTGCATGGGTAGTAGGACATATGCCAACTGAACCAAATTTTGGAGTGAAAAGAGCAAATGGATTAGGAATGATAAAGCTTACCCTGCCACTTGAAGTGAACACAAATAAATCTCAGTGTGAGAAGGTTGGGAGAGAAATAAAGATAAGGCAGGCAAATCGACCTTGATCTTCCAGCCTAGCTAGATACCGCTCTGTGAACCTCATCTTCACCTTCTTTACCAGATAGTGGAGGCTCGGTGGGAGGAAGCTCGAATGGCTTGCATCATTCAACTTGAGGGTTTTTGTTCATAGAAAAGGTTGTTGCGGCAGGCAGCTGTTGTCATTCATGCTGAGAGCTTAAAAGAATGATTTATCAGAGTGATGGAGTGGAACGAGCACTGGAATGAGAATTGTGAGATGTGAGATCTTGTCTCCACCAAAGCTTCATAGATGGTCACTGGTGATCTCTCCATGTCTGGGTTTTCTCATGTGAATGATGGGACTAGACTAGATAATATCTGGGTGAGCGTGTGTATGTGTACACCTGTGCATGTGTTTGCTGAAACTTTTCATCAGAGACTTTTAAAATATGCTGATAAGGAGACCTAGGAAGAATCTAAGAGGCAAGTGCCAATTTCTTTCCTTTGGAAGGGAAAGGAACATCTTTCCCCCAGATCTACAAAGGAATGAGTGACTAGATCCTCAGACTCCAAAGTCAAAAGAGAAGATAGAGTAATGGATGATCTTTTCTTTGATCTATAGGAACCTTTTCATTCTGTATTACTCTCATTCTTTTTTTTTTTTTTAGGATATATGCTAACATAAATACTTGAGGGCAGGGAACCCCAGAGAGACAAAGGAAGGGTTTGTTAGATACTAGATCATGATTGCAGCTCTTATTCAAAGTAGCTGGCAATCTAAGAGTAAAGAAAAGGTGGCACACTGGGTCCCAGTGTCAGAGGGAAGTGATTTAGGATCCCAGAGGCCTAGGGAATGGTATCTTTGTGCTCAGGGGCTGATGTCACCTCTTAAGTTTATTGCCTATTCTACATTAGCTCTTATTTCTACTCTAAAAGATGATACTAGTTCTGCATGATTGTCAGCAGGCCCCAATTCTCATTAAACTCAACCATGGAAAACATGTTAATTTTGAGGGCCCAATCTCATTTGATCTTGATTTATTTTAAGCATGACACATCTAATTTGCATGTTTTGATATTATGCTGGTCTTTTCTTATTAGGCAGTGAAAGCAAGTGTCATATCTTGTTATAACACTTTCTAGACATTTACCCAAATGTATTTATTTTAGTCCAAACTGAGCTTGGTCTTGGTGATATCTTATTATGAAAATCTTTGCCCCAGATCTACAAAGGAATGGGTGACTGGATTCTCAGACTCCAAAGTCAAAAGAAAAGAAAGAGTCATGGTAATGATTTCATGGTAATGATATTTGTGTAGACAGCATTGGTCATAGGGTTACATTTTTCAAAGCTAGCTACTGTCACCATAGAACTCAAAGGGAAGACTCATCATAGAAATCGAAAGGAAACATTTGCTTAATGTGGATCTTAATGACTTTTTAAAAAGGAATTAAAACAAATACTTTATACTAAAGTTCAACCAACTACTTTCTAGGAAGAAGCTAAGTGGTTTGAAAAGTATGTAACCATGTGTGTATACAGTGAGTTCTCTGTTTCCAATGAGAAGCCAAAAGAATGAAAGAATTATATGCACACCTGTGGTTCCAGCTACTTGGAAGACTGAGGCAGAAGGATTGCCTGAGCCCAGCAGACCCAGGTTGTGTGACCATGAGAATGCTACTGCACTCCAGCCTAGGTGACAGAGTGAAACTCCGACTCAAAAAAAAAGCCGGACCCAGTGGCTCACGCCTGCAATCCCAGCACTTTGGGAGGCCGAGGTGAGAGGATTGCCTGAGCCCACGGGTTTGAGACCCACCTGGGCAACTTGGCGAGACCTCATCTCTACAATAAATAAAAAAATTAGCTGGGCATGGTGGCGCGTGCCTGTAGTTCCAGCTACTTGGAAGGCTAAGGCGGAAGGATCACCTGAACCCAGCAGGTAGAGGCTGTGGTGGCCATGAGCGTGCCACTGCACTCCAGCCTGGGCGACAGAGTGACTCCAACTCAAAAAAAAAAAATTAAAAATAAATAAATAAATAAGAAAGAGTGCTTTAAAATATGATATTGGAAATACCTGAATATAAGTTGACTTACTCTTTTCTTAAGAATAATTTTTTTTTGGCACTAGAGAAGAACCTTACTTTATACTTGACATATACAGTTGTTCTTAAAAGTTATGAAATAATCGTCTATCAAATTCCACTATAGTAGCCAAAGGAAGATTTGCATGATGTGTCACCAGAGATGTTGTTATTTACAAAAGGCAGCTTTTGTAAATGGTAGAATAGGCTACTAACATCTTTATTGTTACATTGGACCAAGCTATTTAATAGTAAAACTTAAACCTCTTTTCTTCTTTGCTTT